TCCTTAGGAATGTAGTACATACTAATATGCATATATCTATGTGTGTTTATATGTGTGTGTGTGTAGGGACAGCCTTATTCTGGAGCTTCCTGGGGAATAATAAATAATGGCTGCTTGCAATCTATGTTATACATGCACTGCAATGAAGAATATTAGAGGCCCAGAGGACACTTCCAGGCATACAATCCGCTTCTAAGGCCCTTCCAGACAGGCCCTATATCTCAGTATCGAATCCCAGGTTTTCTGTTTATCCCAGTGTGGACTGATATGATCCAGTTTAAAGCAGAAAACCTGGTATCAGATCCTGAGATATAGGGCCTGTCTGGAAGGGCCTTAAGAGTCCTCATGTTTAAGGATGTTTTTAATGGTAATGGATAGGAAAAGTCATTAGCCCTCCCACTGCAAGGACCTTTGAGTTGGCCATATTGAATGAACACAACCTCCCCTCCATTTAGAAAACCATTTCTGCTATTCCCTGATGGTCATCCATCCAGGTTCTTAACCAGGCCAGACCCAAACCAGGCTAGGTTTCCAGATGATAATAAATAAAGGAGACAGGGGAGGTAACCACACTCTTGATCCCCTTCAGGCCCGAGTTAAAGATGCCCCTTTAATTATATCGCCAGGCAGACTATTCATCTGGGCCATGATTTATTCATCCCCAGCATTAAGGTAATGAAATATGAGCTCGCCAGGAGCAAACAGGTCTGAAAAAGGAAGGAGATGGAGAGAGAGAAGAGGGGGCTGGCCAGCCAGGGAAGCCAAGGGGGGCATCTCCACTGGAGAATGGATGCAGTTTGACACCACTTGAAGAGTCATAGCTCCATGCTGTGCAGTCCTGGGAGAAGGAGTTCTAAGACAGGGGCCAACTTGGGCTCTCCAGGTGTTTGGACTCCAACTCCCACAATTCCCAACAGCCTGAGGCCCCTTCCTTTCCCCCCTCAGCCGCTTAAGCGGCTGAGGGGGGAAAGGAAGGGGCCTCAGGCTGTTGGGAATTGTGGGAGTTGGAGTCCCAAACCCCTGGAGAGCCCAGGTTGGCCCATGCCTGTTCTATCAGGCCTGTAGCCTTTTCAGCCAGAGTGCCTGGGCCTCATCAAACTACAACTCCCATGATTCTGTAGCATGGAGCTATCGCAGTTAAAGTGGGGTCAAAATGCATCAATTCTACAGTGCAGATGCACCTGCAGTGTGGTCACTGATGTTCCAGGGCAATTTCTTGCTGTGCCTTTCTGAAAAACTGATTTTTGTGTTTGCTGTCAGTGATGGAGACAGATAGGCAGAGAGAAAGACATTGTCACAAGTGGGGGAAGTGGCTTTTTTTGGACAGACAACTCTCAGAATCCCCCAAACAATGAGCTCTGAGTTTAGAAGAGTGGCCTTTAGGGACAAACACTCCTTCGACCATCCAAAACAGAGCTTGGAAAGCTGGCTTTTTGAGAAGACACTTCCCAGAATCCCCTCTGACAGATATTTTTGGAATGATCATAGAATAGAATCATAGAGTTGGAAGAGACTTCATGTGCCATCCAGTCCAACCCCATTCTGCCAAGAAGCAGGAAAATTGTACTCAAAGCACCCCTGGCAGATGGCCATCCAGCCCCTGTTTAAAAGCTTCCAAAGAAGGAGCCTCCACCACACTCCAGGGCAGAGAGTTCCACTGCTGAACAGCTCTCACAATCAGGAAGTTCTTCCTAATGTTCAGATGGAATCTCCTTTCTTGTAGTTTGAAGCCATTGTTCCATTGCGTCCTAGTCTCCAGGGAAGCAGAAAACAAACATGCTCCCTCCTCCCTATGACTTCCTCTCACATATTTATACATGGCTATCATATCTCCTCTCAGCCTTCTCTTCTTCAGGCTAAACATGCCCAGCTCTTTAAGCCACTCCTCATAGGGGTTGTTCTCCAGACTCTTGACCATTTTAGTCGCCCTCCTCTGGACACATTCTAGCTTGTCAATATCTCTCTTCAATCGTGGTCATCCCAAAGCCTTAACTGATTGGAATATATTTGTTGGAGTTGTCCTCAATTTAGGGGAATTGGCAGGATTCTGGGAGTGGTCATCCCAAAAACTGGGGGAAATTCTAAGAGCTTTGTCGAGGGCTTTTACTGGGTTGTTGCAAGTTTATTGTCGAAGGCTTTCATGGCTGGAATCACTAGGTTCTTGTGGGTTTTTTCGGGCTATAGGGCCATGTTCTAGAGGCATTTCTCCTGACGTTTCGCCTGCATCTATGGCAAGCATCCTCAGAGGTAGTGAGGTCTGTTGGAAATAGACAATGGGTTTATATATCTGTGGAATGGCTGGGGTGGGGCAAAGAGCTCTTCTCTGCTGGAGCTAGGTGTGAATGTTTCAACTGACCACCTTCATTAGCATTTGAAGGCCTGGCTGAGCCTGGGAAAATCTTTTGTTGAGAGGTGTTAAGATGTTGTAATTTTTTCCGGCTGTACAGCCGCGCTCCAGAAGCATTCTCTCCTGACCTTTCACCTGCATCTATGGCAAGCATCCTCAGAGGTAGTGAGGTCTGTTGGAATTAGGACAATGGGTTTATATATCTGTGGAATGGCTGGGGTGGGGCAAAGAGCTCTTCTCTGCTGGAGCTAGGTGTGAATGTTTCAACTGACCACCTTCATTAGCATTTGAAGGCCTGGCTGAGCCTGGGAAAATCTTTTGTTGAGAGGTGTTAAGATGTTGTAAGTTTTTCCGGCTGTATAGCCGCGTTCCAGAAGCATTCTCTCCTGACCTTTCACCTGCATCTATGGCAGGCATCGTCAGAGGTTGCGAGAATGCCTGCAATAGATGCAGGCGAAATGTCAGGAGAGAATGCTTCTGGAACGTGTCCATACAGCCCCCAAAAGTTGCAACAACACATTCTAAGAGGGATTTGTGTATCTGTCGGATTGTGGGAGTTGCCCCAAAAGCTTATCTGGCGAGAGGGGATTGTGGGAGTTGTTGTTCCAAAAGGTGACGTTGCCAAGCTCTCCTCCTCGCTTTCTTTCCTTTCCTTCCTCACCCCAAGCCACAGCTTCGTCCCTGACCGCTGCCCAGCCTGTCTGCTGCCTGGCTTCTTCTGCGCCTGCGCCCTCCTCGCCTGCCTGGCTTTGGCTGGGGCTGCTTGGCTTGGCTTTCTGTCTGTCCGGCCCTGGAGCGCCTGGCCCTCCTCCTCCCTATAGGCGCCGGCGGCAGCCAATCAGCGAGCGCCCTGAGGCGGGGAACCAGGGGGAGGGTGGGGGCGCCTTTAAGCCCGGCTCTGGCAAGACCAGCAACCTACAAAAAACATAAAAAGTTTCCTCCGGTAGAAGAAGGGACCTCTCCGGCGGCATCTCTTTTCCTGGCGGCTGCTGCTGTCGGAGGAGAAGACCTCTCCTTGTTGGTCCTTCGCTCGGGGGCACACTCTCCCCCCCCCCCCCCGCCGAAGAGAAGGAGAAGGAGGGAAGGAGAAAGAGGAAGAGAGGAGAGAGGAAGGAGAAGGAAAGGGAGAAAGATAAGAGGAAGGAGAAGGAGAAAGAGAAGGAGAAGGAGAAGAGGAAGGAGGGGAAGGAGAAAGAGGAGGAGAAGGAGGAGAAGGCTACTTTCTGTCGGTCTCCAAAGTCCTTTCTCCTCTGAAGAAGCAGTCTTTGGAAGCTGCTTTCTCTCGGTCTCCAAGATCCCTTCTCCTCTGAAGAAGCAGTCTTTGGAAGCTGCTTTTTCTCTGTCTACAAGATCCCTTTCTCCTCTGAAGAAGCAGTCTTTGGAAGCTGCTTTCCCTCGGTCTCCAAGATCCCTTCTCCTCTGAAGAAGCAGTCTTTGGAAGCTGCTTTCTCTCGGTCTCCAAGATCCTTTTTCCTCTGAAGAAGCAGTCTTTGGAAGCTGCTTTTTCTCCGTCTCCAAGATCCCTTCTCCTCTGAAGAAGCAGTCTTTGGAAGCTGCTTTCCCTCGGTCTCCAAGATCCCTTCTCCTCTGAAGAAGCAGTCTTTGGAAGCTGCTTTCTCTCGGTCTCCAAGATCCCTTCTCCTCTGAAGAAGCAGCCTTGGGAATCTTCTTTCTCTCGGTCTCCAAAGATCCCTTCTCCAAACTGGTCTTTCTCCAGCCTTGGGAAGCTTCTTCTTCTCGCTCTTTGGAGAGGGAACATCTCCGAGGAGAGCGCACAGCCCCAGCCCTGGATTCTGGGCTTCATCTTGGCCCTTTCGCCTCTCCAAGAGGGTCTTTCTCCTCGGAGGAAGCCTTGGGAACTAAGCTGCTCTCTCTGAAACTAGAAGAGAGTTGCGAGACCTCTTTGGAAACTGGCCTTTGCAAAGGGAAACCTCCGCCGGGAGAGAGCGCGACAGCAACCCGGGTTTGCTTTGCATTTCTCTTTCTGTCTGAACTGGCTTTTCTCCTCTTTCCAAACTGGCCTTTCTTCCTCCTGTGAAGAAGAAGCCTTGGGAAGCGCCTTCCCTTCGCCTCCACGGGTACCACAAAATCCTTTTCGGGAAGGAAACCGAGTCTCCGAGTTGAGCGCTTCATTTACTCCAGCCCGGCGTGGGGAACTTTCGCCTTTCTGAACGGATCTTTCTGCTCTGAAGAAGTCTGGAGAAGCCGGCCAAGTACTTCAAGAGATTCCAGACCTTTTCCTGTAAATAACCTTCAGAAAACGGCTCTCTTCAGCTCTCCGAGGGTGCCGCCAGACCCCTTCCCAACCCGGTCTTTGGGAAGGAAACACCCGCGAGGAGAGCGCATGAGGGCAGCTTCGCGCTCGGAACTTGAGCTCGGCTTCATCTTGGGACTTTCGCCTTCCCGAGCGTATATTTCTCCTTGGAAAGAAGTCTTGGGAAGCTGCTTTCTGTGTGGAAGAAACCTTGGGAGACCGCTTTCCCAAAGGCGCTTTCCAAACTGATCCCAAGGAGAGCGCACAGCCCGGACTTTGGAAAGAGAGGTGCCCAAGGAGAGCGCACAGCTCGCGCTTGGACTCCCCAAACTCAGTTTTCTCCTTGGAAGAAAGCACTGAAAAGCTGAGTCTAGGAAAGATCCCTTTCCAAACTGATCCTTTTCCTCTCTGAAGAAGACTTGGGACTCCTGTTTCTCGGGGTGTCCCTTTCCAAGGTGGTTTTGGGGGAGAGGAGAAGAAGACTCTCGAGGAGGAGCGCGCAGGGCTGAGCTGGGACCCCTTGCTCGGCTTGGCGAGGCCTTCCTCCCGCCCAGCCCCTCTTCCTCCTCTTCCTCTTCCTCTTCCTCTTCCTCCCCGGGGGCCATGTCCCTGCTGCCCTCCTTCGGCTTCACCCAGGAGCAAGTGGCCTGCGTCTGCGAGGTGCTGCAGCAAGGCGGCAACCTGGAGCGCCTGGGCCGCTTCCTCTGGTCGCTCCCGGCCTGCGACCACCTGCACAAGAACGAGAGCGTCCTCAAGGCCAAGGCCGTGGTGGCCTTCCACCGGGGCAACTTCCGCGAGCTCTACAAGATCCTGGAGAGCCACCAGTTCTCGGCCCACAACCACCCCAAGCTCCAGCAGCTCTGGCTCAAGGCGCACTACATCGAGGCCGAGAAGCTGCGCGGAAGGCCGCTGGGCGCCGTGGGCAAGTACCGCGTCCGGAGGAAGTTCCCGCTCCCGCGAACCATCTGGGACGGCGAGGAGACCAGCTACTGCTTCAAGGAGAAGTCCCGCGGGGTCCTGCGCGAGTGGTACGCCCACAACCCCTACCCTTCGCCCCGGGAGAAGCGAGAGCTGGCCGAGGCCACCGGCCTGACCACCACCCAGGTCAGCAACTGGTTCAAGAACCGGCGGCAGCGCGACCGGGCCGCGGAGGCCAAGGAGAGGTGGGTGCCACACATCAGTCACTCTTTCTGCAAGAAGGGCCGCTTGGGGAAGGGACCTCGGGGGACCACAAGGCCCAGAATCCCCTCCAGACCGCGAAGCTGTTTGGGGGGATTCTGGGCCTTGTGGTCCCCCAAAGTCTCTTCTCCAAGCTCCAGCCTACTTCCCTAAGCTCCAGCGTACTTCTCCAAACTCCAAGCTTTTGAAGCTCCAGACTATTTCCCCAAGCTCCAGCTTACTCCCCAAGCTCCAAGCTCCCCAAGATCCAGCCTACTTCCCCAACCTCCAAGTTCCCCAAGCTCCATCCTACTTCCCCAAGCTCCAAGCTCCCCAAGCTCCAGCCTATTTATCCAAACTCCAAGCTCCCCTAGTTCCAGCCTACTTCCCCAACCTCCAAGTTCCCCAAGCTCCATCCTACTTCCCCAAACTCCAAGCTCCCCAAGCTCCAGCCTATTTATCCAAGCTCCAAGTTCCCCAACCTCCAAGCTCCCCAAGCTCCATCCTACTTCACCAAGCTCAAAAATCCTCAAGCTCCAACCTATTTCCCCGAGCTCCAAGTTCCCTAAGCTCCAGCCTACTTCCCCAAACTCCAAGCTCCCCAAGCTCCAGCCTACTTCCCCAATCTCCAAGTTCCCCAAGCTCCATCCTACTTCCCCAAGCTCCCAAACTCCAAGCTCCCCAAGCTCCATCCTATTTCCCCAAGCTCCAAGCTCCCCAAGATCCAGCCTACTTCCCCAAGCTCCAAGATCCTCAAGCTCCATCTTTCCCAAACTCCAAGCTCCCTAAGCTCCAGTTCACTTCCCCCTAGCTCAACCTACTTCCTTAAACTCCAAGTTATCCCACCTCCAGCCTGCTTCCCCAAGCTCCAGCCTACTCCAGCCTACCCAACCAATTGTTTGGATCCCCTTAAATTGTCTTTGGGGATGTTCTGGGCCTTGTCACTTCCTCAAGCTCTGAGAGAAACTAGCTCGCTGAGGCAGAGTCTTCTGGCACTGGCCTTCCTAAAAAGGTCCTATGAAAACTTAAATTGGCTGATAAGAATTCAAGGACTTGTTCCAAAACTCAAACCGTTGGGGGGGGGGGGGGGAGATTCTAAGATTTGTCATTCCGAAAAGACACTTCTCCAAATTTCCAACTACACTGTCAGATAAAATCCAGATGATCTGCTTTGAACTGGATTATATGAGTCTACACTGCCATATAATGCAACAGAAACCGAGGCTCCTTCCACACTGCCATATAAAATCCAGATTATCTACTTTGAATTGGATTACGCTGCCATATAATGCAGTTCAAAGCGGATAATCTAGAATAGATTGTATATAACAATCTAGATAGGGCCTGAGTTGGTTTTATTGTGACTGAGGAGGATTCTAGGACTTATCTTCCCAAATGGTCCCTATAGCTGACTGAGGGAGGGGGGATTCTGGGGCTTGGGCCCCTTCTTGGGCCCCTTCCCCAAGTTCCAGGGTTCTGGGGCTTGGGCCCTGGAACTTGGGCCCCTTCCCCAAGTTCCAGGAGAGACCTAAACTACTGTTTGGATCCCTTTAAATTGCCTTTGAGGACGTTCTGGGTCTTGTTGCCACTTCCTCAAGCTCTGAGAGAAAACTAGCTGGCTGAGGAAGAGTCTTCTGGCAGTGGTCCTCCCAAAAAGGTCCTATGAAAACTTAAATTGGCTGATAAGAAGGTGAGGACTTGTTCCAAATGGCCACTTTCTCAAACTGGGGAGAGATTCTGAGATGTGTCATTCCGAAAGAGTCACTTCTCCAAGTTTCCAACATAAACTGAGGCCCTTTCTACACAGCTAGATAAAATCCAGATTATTTATTATTTATTTATTTACTATATTTATATACTGCCTTTCTCAGGAGAGGGGAAATCAAGGCATTTTCAACATATCAATAGCAGAAAATCAGTACCAACATACATATAATACATATATTAGGGGAAAATCATAATAACTAAATACTAACCTACAGCTATAAATTAAAACCATTAATACCATTAAACATATGGGTTGTTGTGAGTTTTCCAGGCTGCAAGTTAATGAGAGCCTTACAATTCTGCCAGCTGAATAATGCATGCTATTCTAATCCAAACACTTCTGATTTTACATTATATTGTGATTTTACATTATAGTTTCAGATTCTATATATTGGTGCCACATTTGGCTGTGGCAGTAGACACAAAATATTTGGTGCTTTCTTCTTAGAAAGCATTTCTTATCAATGGGTTGCTGTGAGTTTTCCGGGCTATATGGCAATGTTCCAGAAGCATTCTCTCCTGACGTTTTGCCTGCATCTATGGCAGGCATCCTCAGAGGTTGTAAACATATGCATAGGTAACATTTAAACACTAAGGCAAAGCATTAAAATAATATAAATACTAAATTTACATGGTCCAGAAATTATCTGGATGCCTTTCAAATGGATTATATATTAGTCTACACTAATATATTAGTCTGGATTATTTGTCTATAATCCAGATCCGTTGTTCCCAACCTTTGGTCCTCCAGACGTGGTGGACTTCAGCTCCAACTGTTCCTAACAGCTGGAATTTCTGGGAGTTGAAGTCCAAAACAACAAGTCCAAAGATTGGGAACCACTGATCTAGATTGTATATGGCAGTGTAGATGGGGCCTGGGTTGGATTCGCTGTGTCTAAGGAGGGTTCTAGGATTTATCTTCCCAAATGGTTCCTTAGCTGGGTTGTTGTCGGTTTTGCGGGCCATGTTCTAGAAGCTGGTTCCTTAGCTGACTGAGGGAGGTCTCTTCTCTGTGTCTTACTAGCTTATTTTTTCCTTGGCCACTTCTGCTCGTCTCCCTTGTCTTTGGCTACCAGAAACTCTATTTCTAAATACTTAAGTTTGCAGTCAGTAGAAATAAGATTGTGGAAGGAAGTTGTCGCTCCCAAAGGTCTCTTTTCCAGGCGTTGACAGAAATGTTTTGGGTGGATCCTTGCAAAAGCGCTGGACTCAGTGCCGCGTCAAGCACCCGTGGGTTTGCTTCTCTTCACAGGACAGGGGTGTCACGCCTCTGCTTTTGCCTCCTCTGCCTCTCCACAGCTTTGCTACAAAGCAGAATTGAGGATGGCCCACCCAGGCTAAGATCCATGGGGTCTTTTATTGGGTTGGAATGAAGTCTCCTTCAGCCCAATATCAAAGGATTACATGGTTTGAATCCCCTCCCGTGGGGGGGGGGGGGGCTTTAGGATTCCATTTAAACTGGAAGAACTCGCTGGATAATTAATTATCATTAGGCTCGCCCTAGTTTGTGTGTTTGCTCATCGCCAGGTCCGCATGAGATAGTTCTCTCCTCCGAAACAGACCTTCCAGAAAGGCGTCCAAAGGGCCACCAAAGACTCCATCCAGTCTCCCGCTTGAGCATAAGGAAGGAAGGAAGGAAGGAAGGAGAAAGGAAAGAAAGATGGAAAGACAAAAAGGGAAGGAAGGAGAAAGTGGCAGGGAAGGGAGGGGGGAAAGAGAAGGAAAGAAAGGAAAAGGGAGGGAAGGAGGGAGGAAAAAGGGAAGGAAAGACCAAAGGGAGGGAAGGAAGGAAGGAGGAAAAAGGGAAGGAAAGACCAAAAGTTAGGAAGGGCGAAAGGGTGAAAGAGAAAGAGGGAGGGAAGAAGGAAGAAGGAAAGAGAGAAGGAAAGAAGGATGAAAAAAGAGGAAGGGAAGGATGGAAGGAGAAAGAGGGAGAGAAGGAAGGAGGGAGGAAAGAGGAAGGAAGGGCGAAAGGGTAGAAGCGAAGGAGAAAGAGGGAGGGAAAGGAGGGAGGAAAGAGAAGGAAGGAAAGACAAAAGGGAAGGAAAGAGGAAGGAAAAAGGAAGGAAGGGGAAAGGGTAGAAGGGAAGGAGAAAGGGAAGAGAGAAGGAAGGAGGAAAAAGAAGGAAGTAAAAGATGGAAGGAGAAAGAAGGAGAGAGTGAAGGAGGGAGGAAAGAGGGAAGGAAGGAGAAAGAATGAGGAAAGGGAGGGAGGAAAGAGAAGGAAGGAAAGACAAAGGGGGGAAGGAAGAGGGGAAAAAGGAAGGAAGAGCGAAAGGGTGGAGAGGAAGGAGAAAGAGGGAGGGGAGGAGGAAGGAAAGAGAGAAGGAAGGAAGGGAAGGATGGAAGGAGAAAGAGGGAGAGAGGGAAGGAGGAAAGAGAAGGAAGGAAAGACAAAAGGGAAGGGAGAAGGGAGAAAAGAGGGAAGGAAGGAAAGACCAAAGGGAGGGAGGGAAGGAAGGAAGGAAGGAAGTGAGTAAGATGGAGAGAGGGAGGAAAGAGGGAAGGAACGAAAGAGGAAAAGGTGAAAGGGAAGGATGGAAGGAAGGATAAAGGAAAGTCCAATCCATCATAGGGGCTACTTTGGGTTTTGCTATTTTGCAGGGACAGCTTGGTTTAGCATACTATAAAATCCCAGATCCAATCTATCGCAGTGCATAGTTGGGGTTTGGCTTCCTTCTGAACGCGAGGTACCTCACCTGGCTTCCTCAGACTGAAGCGGAGATGAAATTCGTTTTCTCCCACACTTCCTTGTCTTTGCTTGGATAGAAAATGTGGGGCTTTCTTTCCAATCAAGAGCTGTGGCCTTTCTCTTGCCCGCGTTGTAGAGCGCTTGGCTCATAAGTGGAGGGAGATCTTGACCTCTTCTACACTGCCATATAAAATCCGTATTATCTGCTTTGAACTGGGTGACATGGCAGTGTAGAAGGGGCCTTTCAGAAGGGGAAGAGAAACTCCAAGACTGGCGCCCCTTACCATCCCCGGCTGGGTCCCTTTCCATGCGTTTTACGGTCAAGATTGAATTGATGCAGTTTGACACTAATGCTATAGAATCATGGGATCTGTAGTTTTACAAGGCCTTTAGCCTTTCTTTTCCAAAGTGGTCTGATTGCCTCACAAAATTATCAATCCTAAGATTCCATAGCATTGAGCCATGGCATTTAAAGTCGAGTTCATTCTACAGTGTAGATGCATTGCTGGTTTACTTTTCTCCAGAACCTTGGTTCTTTCAATCCTG